TAGCTACAGTGTTTTTGTGAAGCATTCGTATAGTTTGTATTTTTTTTTTATTTATGTATAGGTAAACATTTATATATATAGTATATTTATAGTCAAAATCAGTCAGTAGGCTAGTTGTGTATAGGTTTTACTGTTTTACTTCATTGTTGTATGCCTGTATTTATGTAGCACCGTGGTCCTGTGAGGCATGACATTTCGTTCCACTGTATGTCCCCACATGTAGCAGAATGACAATAAAGCTCAACTTGAACTTCAACTTGAACTCAATTCAGTTTGCTCACAGGCTGCCTCGCTTCAGAGGTATTATTCAAACTTCGGCACAAACACTGTGCAAACACTGCTTGCACACAGTGCAAACACTGCTTGCAAAGGGAGCCATAGAAATGGTTCCTTTAGCGAACAGTGAGTCGGCCTTTTGCAGCCGCTACGTCCTTGTGGTGAAAAAGCTCAGGCCCATTCTAGATCTCAGTCATCTGAATCGCTCGCTCATGAGACGGCCGTTCAAGATGCTGACTTTGAAACAGATCCCCTCGTAAGTATGCCCCAGGGACCGTGTTTTGTCAGTGGATCTGAAAGATACTTACTTTCACATCCAGATAGCCCCCATCACAGTCCTGCCAATCGGACTGTCTCTGGCCCCATGCACTTTTACGAAGCATGTAGACGCGTCTCTCTCCCCCCTGAGACAGATGGGAATCCGCATCTTGAATTACCTTGGGTTAAAAATCTATTTAACCAAGAGCTCTTTGTCTCCCAGCCAGCGAGTAGTCTTTCTGGGGACAGTTATCGATTCTGCCCAGATACAGGCATGGATTATGCCGGAACACTCCCTGATAGTTCAGCAGCTAGCAATCAAGCTGGGGACTTCACATCCCCTCAGGGCTTTCCAGAGGATGCTCGGCCTCATGTTGGCAGCTTCCTCTGTGATTCCTCTGGGCCTGCTTCACATGTGGCCCCTCCAGTATTGGCTCAAAGCCCATGTCCCGTCCCACGCTTGGTGGCTGGGATGTTTTCATCTCAGGGTAACCCACCGCTGTATCAGAGCTGTGGCCCCTTGGAAAAGTCCTCGCCTGTTTCAATTTAGGCGTCCCACTGGAACTGGCCTCCAGGAGGAAGGTGGTGATGACAGATGCCTCCAACTCCGGTTGGGGAGCTCTGTATGAGGGCAGACCAGCATTCAGCTCCTGGTCAAACCTGGAGCAACGCTTACACATCAACTGCCTCGAGATGATGGTGGTTTTTCTAGCCCTAAAAACCTTCCTGCCGGCCTTAAAGGGGCACCACGTCCTGGTCCGTTCGGACAGCATGGCGGTGGTAGCCTTTATAAATCATCTAGACAGTCTCAGTTCATGCTCCCTCTACAGGTTGGCTCGATGCCTCCTTTTATGGACACAGGGCAAACTCATCTCGCTGAGAGCAGTTCATGTGCCGGGCAGACTGAACCAGGGAGCAGACATGCTGTCCAGAGGCAATGTAGCTTGACTTGCGGCCCCTGTCACTTAAGACCGCCCTCCTTCTGGCTTTAGCGTCAGTCAAGTGAGTGGGTGACTTGCAAGCACTGTCAGTCAGTGCTTCATGTCTTGAGTTTGGGCCTAACAACTGTAGAGTCGTCCTCAAGCCAAGACATGGCTACGTGCCAAAAGTGCTCTCCACTCCATTTAGAGCACAAGTCATCACCCTTCTAGCACTCCCCAATTAAGAAGGTGAGCAGGGTCCTAATCCACTCTGCCCAGTTCGGGCCCTTAAGAGTGTATGTTGAGTGCTCTGGCCAGTTTTGGCACTCATAGCAGCTCTTTGTATGCTTCGGAGGCCACTCTAAAGGGCTGCCAGTCACGAAGCAGAGACTATCTCACTGGATAGTGGATGCTATAGCCCTGGCTTACACCTCAGTGGGCTTACAGTGTCCTCCTCCTGGGCTTGGTCCAGCGGAATTTCTATTGGTCACTGTCTACCTTCACCAGATTTTATAACTTGTCCGCTTAATCTACCTGACGGACGATTTGGGATGAGATTCATTCAGAATGAATCTGCTGCGTGGTTCAGAGGTTATGCGTACATATGAACCGGCGGGACATAAGCTAAAATGCACTTGCTGCACGTCGCATAAAAGGTTCAAAAAATGTCAATATGTGGGAGTAAGAGAAGAGCAGACATATGGATAAATCTGACGATGCAAGAGAGAGCTCAATTCGGTCCGGTTTTCTGAGCGCAGACACTATACACACAAAGCGCGTCTCACAGCGTGCGAGTGCTCTTTCAAGTCGCATGAACGGAGAATTACACACAAAATTATGTCAAATTGTCCGTTTTGATGAGTATTCACGTACACACAGATGATTACGTCTTAAGTGAACGTAAACAGTAGGAAGAACGTGTATCAGTACATTGCATCCATTGCAGCCGTGCATTCAGTTTTAAAGGGACAGCAGCCTAATTTAGTTGCTATTGTCCGAGTCATTGATGTTAATCAAGCAACAACAGAAATACAGAAAATCACACACTGCTCTTGACTGAAAAACTTTAGTAGCCTTAAAGATTAATCTAAATTTATTTATAGAAATAAATATGTCTGCTTGAAAGAATGAAGAATATGGTAAACAAGTTGCTATAAAGAATGCATAATTAGCTTATATAACCATTGGTATTTAATTAAAAAGAAGACCATGTTCTTGTTCTTTATGAGAAGTGGTTTTATTTCATTTTAACATAAAGGCATGTTGTGTGTCACAGCAGGTAAATCGGTGTCTATCAGGATAAAACCTTAATATCAAACCTATATAATGAGTTTGGAAATTGTAGAGAAATGCTTAATAAATGCATTACACTAACTAAACCCATTAGATTTTAGCCGACTAAAATCTTATGATATTTAGTCGACTAAAACTAGACTAAAACTAAAAACAATTCAGATGACTAAAATATGATGAAATTCAGATGACTAAAATATGACTGAAACTAAATGGCATTTTAGTCAAAAGACTATGAATAAAACTAAATCAAAATTTGCTGTCAAAATTAACACTGTTCAGTATCAGAGTAAACAGGAGTTTCCCCAAAACGTGTTAAGGCAATGCTCGTTCCCTTATCTCAGGGAACCGAGGTTACATAGTAACCGGAGCGTTTTCCATCTGAGGGTGTGTCTATATGTGGGTGCGTGCACAGAAAAAAGCATGTTTTCTATAGGTAATAAAAGGCAATGTAGTTGGAAAACACAGAAATTGTCTTTTATCCTTTTGTTTGTCATATTTGTTTCCTTGATCAGTGTCTGTGGGTTTCCATCTGCTGTTGTAGGCCATAAGGACCTTTGAAATAACTGAAATAGTTTGGTGAAGTGATACTGAACTGTAATGTGGTCAACAGACCTGGAACTACTTCATAGCTGTGGGTTTACTGGAAAATAAAGTTGCTGATTTTTTCCCTAAATGCAGATGGTCAGATTCTGGCCATTCTCAAGCCAAATAGGTCATATCTGTGAAATGCTTAAGAGATGATGATGTCTGGTTAATTTCATCCAAGCATTCAAGGTTAATTCTTTAGTAGCTGCCCTTTGTTTCCAGTTGACTAATTTGGTAAAAACAGACTGATCTTAAAAAAGACTTGTTTATGCCAAGTTTTCTCCATTTTGTAGAAATAGATGCCACCTCCATCTTTTCTAACATTTTATGGCATTTTTTTCTTTAACAACTTCTAACTTCTAACTATCTCTACACTTTTCCTGTACTTGGTTATTCATTATTCAATTCCAACCGATTTTTTTCAATTCATTAATTATCTTTTATTAAGATTGTAGAAACAGTTTGGGTTTATTGTCTCTAAACTCTTAAGTGAACAACAAATGTTTCCCAAATGCATTTTAGTTCCATAGTTGCATTTTGAATGTCCTTACTGAACATGCAAAATCACAATGAGACAGGAGGAGTGAAGTACTGCCCCCTGTTGTTAATGTTGCAGCAGCACATGTGAAAAAAACTTCCACCCTGCTCCCTCTGAGCTACCTCAAGAATGATCAAATAGAAATTGAAATTGTAGAGTTTGTTAAATTGAGGGAAATAAACAATGCATTTAAATGATTGAGGCATTATCAAGTGTTTTCCAAAAATTATTTTCTGTTGAATGTGTAAAACCAATAAACAGCCAAAGGGGTCCAGCCATTCATTCATTTGTATATTTATACAAATTAATTCTTATTAATGTATAAAAGTGTCCAGTTTGAACATTTTGAACTATTGTGACAGTGTTTAAGGAACAAACAGTCCTCTAAAATATTAATAAAACATTTTACTGTTTTAGATCCTATCATGAACATACGGTCATAAAATGAAGTGCTACAAAATACTGCGCCTCATGAGTGTGCTGGCAAATCTATTTTTGTTCCTGGCTGGTTTTATAAAATTACAGTAAGTGTTGATCCTCGCTAGTCACAACTGCTTGAATTGCTTGAACAAAGTGTCAAACCTCTGATGAGCAGCTATGTGGTTTTTGATGTTCTTTCATGATGAAGCACCATCTGTCCCACAGTAACGGTCACCAAAGTCCCCTTCAAGGACAGCAAATATACAGCCACAAGATTTCAGTACATAGTTTAGTTTTTTTCTTTATTATATTTAGGTACACTACCCTTTAAGAATCTGGGTCAGTAAGAATTTTTGGTAGTGCTGCGGGCGGTATACCGGTTCATACCGAATACTGGTGTTTATTTTTGTTATGATATGAATTTTTAAAATACTGCAATACCGGTGTATGTCGCTTAAACAACGTTCGGAACGCGACACTGTTTGA